GGACACGGCAGGACCGTGGAGGAGTGCGCAAGGACTGGACCCCCAGAGGGGTCTGCTAGGGAGACTGCAACCGGCCGACTGAGCGGTGTGAGGGTGGTGCTGTCGCGAAAGAAGGAGCGGGAAGCACCTGAGTCAAGTGTGAAGGTGTACAAGGCCTGAGCAGGCGCAGTACCAGAGAGAGCAGACTCACCAGCACCTAGAGCAGCAGCCTCACCAGCACCTAGAGCAGGAGACGCACTAGCACCTAGAGCAGCAGCCGCACCAGCACCTAGAGCAGGAGACGCACCAGCACCTAGAGCAGCAGCCTCACCAGCACCTAGAGCAGCAGGCTCTATACTTGGGTCAGGCGGTACGCACAGGTAACAGGCACAGTCAGCACTAGTAGGCAATGCATACATGGCAGTGAGAATAGCATCATAGTCAAGAGCAAAGATATATACCCTCTGTCCAAGCAGCTCCAGCCAGGTGGGGAGCTCAGCCTCGTCGCCAAACTCGGTACGCCAGGCGTCGCTCAGACGGGCGAAGCAGCGGGACTGTGTGTGACCAAGCGTCCCGCAAGCCTGACCAGCCCGATCACCTGTGCGAATGACGTACGGGCAGCGAACGGTACTGAAAGACCCTCTACTCTGAGCGTACCACTCACGAAGCTGCTGGGGCGTAAGTGTCTCGCGCGGACGCCACTGCAGCTGCAGCTGGCCACTGCCAGACGCTCCCGACTGACCAGCTCCAGGGCGACAGCCACGACGGCTACCGCCACAACCCCAACTAGCGTACCACTCACGAAGCTGCTGGGGCGTGAGAGACTCGCGTGGACGTCGCTGGAGCTGCATCTGGCCACCGCCAGTAGCAGCAGTAGCAGTAGTAGTAGCAGTAGTAGCAGCAACAGCGCGGGCAGGGAAGGTGCGGCAGGCAGGCAGGCAGGCAGGTAGGCAGGCAGGCAGGCAGGCAGAGGGCGCGGCAGCGCGCGAACAAGGCAGGTGCTCACCAATGGCGGGAGGGTAGGCGCACGATGGCGGCGACGGCGGGGCCGCAACAGCGGCTGAAGAGTAGGGCCGCGGCAGCTGCAGGGCGGGGTCACGTCAGCGGCAGGTCGGGGCCGCGTCAGCTGCAGGACGGGGCCGCGTCAGCGGCAGGTCGGGGTCGCGACAGCGTTCTCGCAGGGCCGCGTCGGCGGCAGGGCGGGGCCGCGACCTAGCGGGGCCGCGTCGGCGGTAGGGTGCGGCCGCGTCAGAGGCAGGGCGGGGCCGCATCGGCGGCAGGGCGCGGCCGCGTCAGTGGCAGGGCGGGGCCGCGACCTGGCGGAGCCGCGTCGGCGGCAGGGCGCGGCCGCGTCGGAGGTAGGGCGGGGCCGCGACCTGGCGGGGCCGCGTCGGCGGCAGGGTTATGCTGCGTCAGAGGCAGGGCGGGGCCGCGACCTGGTGGGGCCGTGTCGGCGGCAGGGCGGGGCCGCGTCGGCGGTAGGGTGCGGCCGCGTCCGAGGCAGGGCGGAGCCGCGTCGGCGGCAGGGCGCGGCCGCGTCAGAGGCAGGGCGGGGCCGCGTCAGCAGCCGGGCGGGCCGCGACAGCGACCTGGCGGGGCGGCGCTCTGACCTGACGGGCTTGCAGAGGCGGCTCGCGGGCCTGACGGGCCTGCAGGGGCGGCTCGCGGGCCTGACGGGCCTGCAGGGGCGGCGGGTGGGCCTTACGAGCCTGCAGGGGCTGCGCGCGGGCCTTACGGGCCTGCAGGGGCGGCGCGCTGGCCTAGGGCAGCAGAAGGCAGCGCGAGGGCTGCAGGACGGCGCGCGCAGCGCAGCACGTCACAAGGCAAGGCAGGCAGGCAGGCAGGCGCAGGACAACACGTGGGGTAGCGCGGTAACCGCAACGGTAGGTGGGCTCGAAAAAAAAGACGGTCCTACGGACCTAGTGCTCTGAAACCATGTTAGAATCTAGCAGCAGGAATGGATCAACTATGAAAGAGTTGGGTACAAGTATGAAACCCTAAAAGGGGCTGTACCCCATATTGGCTACCCCACTACAGCCTACGCATATATATCATGCATATACTTTGACACTGACCTGTCCCAGAACCGACACTTGACCCGTCCAAGATTTTGGCGCATCGTATTCGGCTCGACGCTTCTGGACGCCACGTGGATTTTCTAATCCGCTGGACTGGCCGCACCAGTGAGGACGACACTTGGGTGCCATCCGCCTTGCTTGAAGCTACTCCGCTTCTTGGTGATTACCTCACCCACAAACGAGCTGCGGATATTGACCACCTTTCTTAAAGGGGGGGGGGGGTAGTGTAAGGAAAAACCCTTTTCCTTACAGGGGTTTACTCAACCGCGTGTCAGAATAATATATAATTCTATATATTGTTCTATAACTGCCTGTAGTGTAGAATACTGTAGTCATATAACTTTCTGTTTGGTGGTGCACCTTTCATCATTCTTGCCTATTTGTACTGCTCGCTCTATAGTGAACAACATCTCTTTTGTTGGCCAACTTTCTCCTCTCGACACTCTCGTTAACCCCCTTCCTAGCACCTAAGGTTTTCATGCCTCCTAGGTTCTAGAACTGTTTTAACATGTTATCAGAGTGGTTCCTATCCTAGGACCTGATTTTTTTTTTTTTTTTTCCATGGGCCCACCGCATATCGCTCCTGCCATGGCGCTCGTCGCGGCCCCAGCTGTGCCCGGTCAGCCGCTCGTCGCGAATGTTGCGAAGTCGAGCGTGGCGAGCTTGGCGCTGTTCGTCGCGGCCCCAGTTGGCGGCCCCGTCACCTGCCCATCACGCCCTCCTGCAGCCTCGTCACGCCCTGTTGCGGCCCCGAGCGTCTGCATCGACGGTCGTTTTGGGGGGAGACGGCGGGTGTGGCGGCCGAGCTGCTTCAGTCGCCAAACGCGCCCCTTGCCCCGCCCTCCCGTCGAACATGCGGCTGCTACGACTGCAGCTGCCACGCAAGCGACGGCGAGCTGTGCGACGGCGCTCGTCGCGGCACCTGTTGCACCCATCCGTTACTCCCCCCCCTACCCGCGATCTCGCGAACGCCAACCACGACCGATGCCGTGTCTTCCGCTGTGGACGAAGGTGTGGCGGGGGGGGGGGGGGGGAGGGGGAGGCGCGAGGGTGGTTGACGCCACTCTGTTCGCTGCTGTGCCACACCGCTACGCCGCCACACGCCGTCCCTTCTCTCTCCCTGCTACGCGTGCAGCAGTGGGGGGGGGAGGGTTTGGGGTGGCGGGTGTGAGCAAGAAGCTGCCGCCCCTCCTCTCTCTCTCACTGCCGCACGTGCCGCTGTGGGGGGGAGAGTGAGGGGGCGACGGAAGTCAGCCGGTCATCTGCTGCTGTCGCCCGCTGCTGCCGTGGCACCTCCAGCTGCCGCCCCTGCTGCCACCTGCCTTTGCTGCCTTTGCTTCTTCTACCTGCTGCTAGGGCCTGCAGGTGCTGCCGTCGAGCCACTGCTGTCCTGCTGCACGTTGCAGCCACAGAGCCTGCTCCTCAGGCGACCTGCCGCCCCTACACCTGCTACTGTTTCTGCCTTGGCCGAGGGGTTGGTACAGCTGGATCTGCCATCACTGCACCAGTTGCCACTGCACTTGCCTGTTGCTGTGATTTCCGCTGCGGCCTGTCTGGTGTACCCCATTATGGGGGCGTTGACTGCACATTCTTCCCTACAGGCACTTATGGGGGCATGTCAGAATAATATATAATTCTATATATTGTTCTATAACTGCCTGTAGTATAGAATACTGTAGTCATATAACTTTCAGTTTGGTGGTGCACCTTTCATCATTCTTGCCTATTTGTGCTGCTCGCTCTATAGTGAACAACCTCTCTTTTGTTGGCCAACTTTCTCCTCTCGACACTCTCGTTAACCCCCTTCCTAGCACCTAAGGTTTCCATGCCTCCTAGGTTCTAGAACTGTTCTAACACCACGTACAACCCCAACTTTTGGAAGTGCACGTTCGGCCACTTTGCTTGCTGTCGAACCAACCTCGCGTCACCTTCGGCTTTTCCTTTGCCCAACCTGCACCCAACCTCGTGTTCCCGAGGTTCCTGCCTAGCTAGGTTGACCCACTATATTAGCGCTTGCCTTCATTGTATTGTTAGTTCATTGAGTCACATCTTCGTTATTCGTTATTCCGCGCACTCTCTTTTACAGCTCATAACAGTTTTGCTTATTCTTGCCCGGTTTTGAGTGATTCAATGCTCGTGAAGGCGTCCTGTACAGGGCTTTCGTTATTAGTGGAATTTATACTGCTATACTGATTAGAAGGGTGAAATTTAGGGCCTGCACTGCTGGGTTTGGGAATTTTTTTGGGGGATTAGTGTTACGTTGCTATGTAAGTGTAACGATTTAGTCCACATTGATGCTCTGGGGTAATTTTTCCCTTAGCAAAGATTACCGTGAAGAGCGTACACGGAACCACCCCCCTCCCTCCCCCCCCGCTCCCCCGTCTTCGAAAGCTCTACTTATCGATACACAGTTTCCTAGAAATTCCGTAACGATACACCCAATTTCGTAATGATGCACTACGACGCCAGCACGTGAGTACTGACAACCGACACCGCGTCACTCTGTGTCTGCTTGCAACCTACCCGTTACTGTAGAGGCGATGCAACCTGGTTGGTCGAAGCTGCACTCACTGCAAGAACTACTCGAATCGGAAATTTGGGACTCGAGGTCCCCAAACACATGTTCCCCCTGAGAAGCTTGCTGACTCGGCGAAAAAAACAAGTGTTTCAGCGAAACTAGACAAGCCACTGCGCTCGACTTTTAAGTTCACAACATATCACAAGTGTTGCTGCCAGCACATATTGAGCTGCATAGAGTACAATCACGGTAAAAATTTACATACACCGATGCCTCTGGGTAAAGTTATCAAAACTTCAAGTTACACTGATCCATCAGTGTTTCCAAAAAGGGCACGCTGCTAATAGTGAGTAGGCAAAATCCAAAACTAAGCCCTGGTCCCGTACACCCATGAGATGTGAAGTGGTTCAAATCTCAATTGAAGTCTAAACCCTGGATAAAGAAGAAGATGCCATAAATGGAGGAGACAATGACATGAATGGGGAGGCGATGATGTGGACAAAGACGAGGATGACGTGGAGAGATGCGACGATGACGTGGTCAAAGGAGATGATGATGTGGACAGAGGCGGCGATGACGAGGACATATGTGGGGATGACGTGAACAGAGGCAGGGATGACGTGGGCAGTGTCGACGACACCGGGGACAGAGGCGGCGACGAACTGGACAGAGGCGGGGATGACGTGGACAGAGGCGGGATGACGTGGACAAATGCGCCAATGTCGAGGACAGAGGCGGCGATGACGCAGACAGAGGCGCCGATGACGCTGACGGAGGCGGCGATGATGCAGACAGATGCGACGATGACGCTGACGGAGGCGGCGATGACGCAGACAGAGGCGGCGATGACCTGGAGAAAGGCGACAATGATCTGGACAAAGGAGGTGATGACCTAGACGGGAGGGCTGGGGGGAGGGGGGGGGAAGGGGGGTGGGTGACACAGAAAGAGGCGACGACAACATGGACAAAGGAGACGATGACGCGGACAGAGGCGGCGATAACGCGGACAGAGGCGGCGATGACGCGGACAGAGGTGGTGTTGATGCGGAGGGGCGGCGGTGACCGGGATAGAGGCGGGGATAACCTGGACAAAGGCGGCGATGACGCGGACAAATGCCGCAATGATGCAGACAGAGGCGGTCTGATGCGCACAGAGGTGGCGATGACGCGGACAGAGGTAGCGATGGCTTGGACAGAGGCGGCAATGACCTAGCCAGAGGCGCCGACGACATGGACAGAGGCGGCAGTGACATGGACAGAGGCAGTGATGACGCGGACAAAGGCGGGTATGTCGTCCACGTGATGCATATTGCACATGTGCCATGTAATAGATAACGCGATGCTCGTCCCGCAGGACAACTTCACCAAATCCTCTTGGAGCAAAGTTCGTGCACCCAGGAAAAAACTCGCCTACCAGTTACTTGGTTGACCAAAAAAGGCCATTGAGTCGGCGCCCGATTGACAATAGATCGAAGCCCGTAGGTCAACGCCATGTCGACGATCAATTTCGACGACCGGCGAGGCTTGACGCCGTCTGCCAACTTCACTTTGTCGCTCAGCGTTGAAGTCGGCTTCGCTCAAGTCGACTTCGATGAACTCGGCTTTGCTGCGGTCGGCTTCGCCGACTTCGGCTAACCAAACCTGCCGAATTTCTCCTACAAGTCGGCGCTGACCACAAAGCTTAGCTGGCTTCACTCCTTGCGCACAGGTCAACGAATTCAACCTTGCTCAAGCGAGGGCGGGGCCTTTTCTCGTCACGAACTTCTCCCCAGGCGGCTTTGGCAAAATTTGACATGCGGGACGAGCATCACACACTCTACAACCTGGCACGTGTAGTTTCGGGCTATTCATTGCTCTTGTGAACGCGTCCCATGCACCCACGTGCTCCAAATCGTTCAAATCTTGAAGGGATGTTGGGAAAACTGTCACAAGTATGAGGAAAAGTTTAGAAGCAGAAAGAGGGGTTGCACTAGCAAGCAGTTGAGTACATATAGGAAACCCTAGATTGGGCTGTACTCGCTATAGAGTACCCCACTGCAGGCTAGACAAATACAACATTCTGACACACCCCCATAGCCAAAGTGGGGTGTAATCAGCAGAGCACACAGCCATAGAGCAGGTTCACAATTGCAAGCAAAGCTAGAGGCAATCACAGCGAGCAAGTGAGGAGGAGGGGAGACTGTTGGGGTGAGAAGATGGAAGGCGACTGCTGAAGCTGCAGACACACAGGAGCTGCTGGCTCAGTGGCTACCGAAGCAAAGGCCCGGACTACAGGAGTAACTGGCTCCGCGGAGATTGTAGCCTCCCGACTAGAGCAACTGACCCACAGGCGACTGGCGACTACCGGAGATTGTAGCCTCCGGACTGCTGGTGCTGCTGGCGACACGACTGCGACCTCCGCTCAACCTCCGCCAACTGCCCCACGCCCCTAGCACACACCCCCTGCTGCACCACTAGCTCCACTCCCACGTCACCCCCCTAGCACCACTCCTTCGGCTCCCACACACCCACCCCCCTGAGCGGCAGCTGCAGCAGCGGGAGACGGAGGAGGAGGAGGAGGAGCAGGGGACCGCGCACACCCGCCATCCCCATACCCGTCACCCCCATACCCTGAGTGTGCGGTAAGCGAGCTCAGGTGTGCGCGAAGCGTGCACAAGTGTGTGGGAAGCGATCTCGAGTGTGCGGTAAGCAAACGCAGGTGTGCGGGGAGGGGGGGCCGCAGGGCGACACGCGGGTCGACGGGGATGGGCGCACGGGTCGCCGGGGGCGGCGTGCGGGTCGACGGGGCCGCCGCGAAGGGCGACGGGGAGCCGCGCGCAGGTAGACGGGGACGGGCGCGCGGGTCGACGGAACGCGAAACCGCCGTGTGCGCCCAGGGTGCGCGGTGGGCAGGAAACCGCCACGCGTTCCGAGCGCATGGCGGGCAGAAAACCGCCGCGCGAAGCAGGAAACCGCCGCGCGCCTCGGGGCGCACGGCGGGCAGAAAACCGCCGCACGCCCCGAGCGCACGGCGGGATGAAAAACGCCGCACGCTCCGAGTGCGCGGCAGGAAGAAAGGGTCGCGCGCCCGGGGCGCGCGACAACAGTAGAGCAGCGGAAGCATCGGGTGGGGCCCACCCACAGGATCGACTTAGGAGGGTCGACCTGCTCTGATAGCATATCACAAGTATGAGGAAAAGTTTAGAAGCAGAAAGAGGGGTTGCACTAGCAAGCAGTTGAGTACATATAGGAAACCCTAGATTGGGCTGTACTCGCTATAGAGTACCCCACTGCAGGCTAGACAAATACAACATTCTGACAAAAACCAGGTAGTGTTCTAACGAAAAAAAAGTGAAGGTTAAGTAAACAAGCAGGGCATGAAACTTTTGCAACTAGTGTTTAGTCTTATCCTTGTACGGTTGCAGGTCATTCGACTCTTGTGATGACGTCCCGTGTACCCACGTGCTGTGAGCTGGTTCAAATATTAAAGGGATGCTAGAAGTTGTTGGAGTAAGCGGGAATTAAATAAAGCGTTCCCGAAGGTGCAGCCGTCAAACCCGCTATTAACGAAGCAACAACAGCAGCATTATCAGATCAGCCCATACAGGGCAGGAAGGTCGTCGCAAGCTCAACTGTCGCGACTGTTGACCATCTGAACTAACGGTTACACGCGAAGAATGGCAGTAGGCGTAACTGTCTGTATACTTACATGTAGTGACCCGATAACAAGAGAAGAGCAGAGGCTACTCTAGAAATGCCTGCAAAACAGTTATACTAAAGGAATGTACCCCTTAGAGTACATAGCTAGCTAGATCTATTTATTGTTTGTGATTTTCTCTATTAGTCAATATTGTCATCTACATTCACTATGCACAAGATTCTTACCACTACCAAAGACTTCCGCTACCAACTCTAGAAGGCTTACTCTATCCAAGGATCCTTCTCCCAACATGGTACGAGAGCTAGTTTGGATTATAAGATCTACTAAGACATCGTTCCTCAAAACGATCCTGACCATTTTAAATACCAAGCCCTCATATTGGATTCAGGGGACCCTGACCCATCAGGGTTGTTCCCTAAAAAAAAAAAAAAAAAAAAAAAAAAAAAATTGCCCTGATTCATAAGTGCAGAGGTGCTTTCAGGATCCTGATTTGTGAGTGTAAAAACTAGAGTAATCCTGCCTTATCAGGATAACATATGTAGTTTACTGAAGTTGGTTACATAAAGCTTTTATACTTTGAGGCATTTCCATCCTCTCACATCACATCGCAGGTAGTAAAATAATAATGGAATTTCATTGATTCGGAAACAACAGAGATATAATCATTATTTTTTTCCACCTAGCATCCTCCTCCACATCATCACTGTCACTAAATCATGCAGCATCATCTGAGCCATGGGCCCCCATGGTCGGCCTTCTCCTGCTGCGAGTCACTGTTGCCTTTGCCACCATCACCACCACCACCAACACGCTTGTTTGCGGCATCAAAGGGATTGCCCTTACGCTTAGTTGGGCGGCGCTTCTTCGTGCTGCGCCACTGCTCCACGACGTCTCTCCACTCGACGTCGTACTCCAGCAAGCTCAGAGTCATGAGATTCCCAAGCTTCTCTGCCAACTTTTGATGATGTTTTGTTGGGAGAAGCCGCGTTTGCACTCCATAGTGCTGATCGGCAACACAGCCACTGCTACCCATAGCCGCACCAGGTTGGGGTAGCTCCTCGGCCAGTCAGCAGTGGCCATCATCGCCTTCAGGCCGGCATGAAAGGGCTGCTCCTCCTTCGGCGCCCCAGAAAGGACCGACAAGAAGGTCCGCATCTCCTTTGCACTCTTGCTTAGTCACATATGTTGGAAGGGACAGGTGATGGATAGCAAGTACAACAGAATAAGCGATGGCCTGTTGACGTTTCATGACGCTAAAACCAAAACCTGGACTTACGCATATAACAAAAACTAATATGAAGTTTGAGTTCATAAAACAGACTCACCTGGTAGAACTTCCTCTCGCTCGCGCACATGGAACATGATGAAGAGGCCGTCCAGATGCTCACGGAACTCCGCGTCTCTCGCCTCTCTTCCACGCGGCCATGAGTGGGGCATGTAGAGCTTCGCACAATTGACGGTTGGCAGACTGCCGAGGCGGAAGTCAAGATTGAGGTTAACTCCATCGCGAACGACCGACAAGTCCGCACGTACAACAGGATGTCCCCCGCGCTGGTGGTAGCCTGGAACAGTGTCTCCGTGCAGAGTAAACACGTGGGTGCAGGGCTGACCATCACCGTCCACTCCTGCCACCCGCAAGTGCACGGCGAGCTATACCGCGCGAGAAACAGCGACAACTTCGTGCTTGCACCGGCCCCGAACTGTTGACCGCAATCGATGTAACGCTCTTGGAGGAACACCAGAATCCGCTGCACCTGGAATTGCATAGCCATGAAGTCCATCTGCGGGTTGGGGAGGGGAGGGCGCGGGAAGGAGAGCACAACAGAGAAGAGAATAAGCATAAAGAAACACAAGCATACACACGTAATCGATGACAGCATATTACCTCGCGCTTCTGGAACAAGAGGTTGAGCATGTTCAGCTCGACGTGAATGTCTGCAAGGAAATGGAGAAAGAAGTGGAACTTCAAGGATGTCACCACCCGGTACATCGTGCCGTCCAGCCGCTCAAGAAGGACCACCACCGCCTGGAAAACCTTCACGAAACGAGCGATGGCGTCTCCGCGGCTCAACCACCGGACGTCATGGATACCCTGCACCTCCAGGTTCGTCTGCGAGAAGATCTTCTGCAGTTTGTGGAAAGTTTTGTGAGAGTTGCTGGAGCGTCCGAGATGTCCAGCCACTGCTCGAATGATAGAGTCGACGATGCCGAGGTAGGGCGGTCGCAGAGTCTTTGGCAGCGAGTGCCTCCCTGCCAAAGGTGTGGACATAACACAGACAAATTAGCGAGTGCAACGTTTAATGTACAATAACAAGAGACATAGCGAAACGATGCATACGGGTGTGCCATGCAGTGAGTAGACACCAGATGGGGAATGCTTAGGCGAAGCCACGCGATAAGACCAGTACTGCCGCTGATCATCACCATGGCGCCATCGGTGCTGATTCCCGCGATCTTGCTTAGGTCGATGTTGACGCTCTCCAAGTACCCGACGAGGACTCCATGGAGAGACCCTGTGTCACCCTTGTCAACAGTGAGAACCGTCAGAAACTCTGTAACCACCACTCCATCGCACAGATAAGTCACAAACACAATTATGTGTTTCCCTCGCACACGATCGGTGCTTTCATCGCAGCTCAACCCGATAAACGGGCTTGAGTCGATGTACTCGCGCTGTAAGCCTCAGAGGTAGGTCGCCAAAGCTTCAGCAAGCTCCTAGAATCCGTATCTGCAGCAATGACAACACGAAGCTATGTTATGTGGAATCACACAAAACGATTACACGAAGCCGCAATCAATAAAC